TCCCCTGCCGGTCTCAATCCATTGGCGTGCCGCGGGGATTAGGGTGTGCCCAGGCACACCCGACACACCCCGTGCGCACACCTATGGAAGTGAGGGATCGGGGAGACAGCCTACATGAAGAGTCAGTAAGGAGCAGGAAGGTAAAGTAAGAGAAGGAGCATAAAGGAGAAGGAACAGAAATGAGCAAGAAGGGACATCAAGGAGCAGAAAGGGGCAGCAAGGAGCTGGAAGGGACAGCAAGGTGCACAAAAGGTAAAGTAGGAGAAGGAGCACAAAGGAATAGAAATGAACAGGAAGGGTCAGCAAAGAGCTGGAAGGTAAAGCAGCACAAAGGTAAAGTAGAAGGAGCAGAAAGGGTCAGAAATGAGCTGGAAGGGGCAAAAGGAGCACAAACGTAAAGTAGGAGAATGAGCAGGAAGGGGCAGCAAGGAGCAGAAAGGGACAGAAGGAGCACAAAGGTAAAGGAGCAGAAAGAATCAGAAGGAGCACAAAGGTAAAGTAGGAGAAGTAGCAGAAAGGGACAGCAAGGAGCACAAAGGTAAAGTAGAAAAAGGAGCAGAAATGGTCTGCAAGGAGCAGAAGGGTGCAAAATAAGCAGAAAGTAGCAGAAAGATAAAGGAGCAGAAGGAGTCAAGGATAGAAAACCGTGTCAGAAGAAAAAGAAGACTGTCAAATGAAGGAGAGGAAAAGGAGATTGGAGCAGGAAGGACAAATTAAGTGAACCCTCCACTTTATTCTGGACACATCATAAGGCTTTGGTACCTGGGCCTGGCAGGGAAACTCTGGACCTTCTCATCTCCAAAGGTAAAAAAAAAATCGGTGTTAATGTGTTCACTTTTATTTACTGAGTGTCAGGAAGCACAGAGTGCCGCTGGGTAGGGGTGTTGCTGATTGGCTAGAGCGGTCAGCTGGCACTCTAAGCCAATCAGTAGCTCCCCATTCATAAAAAAGTAAAAATATTTTATGAACCGGAAACTAGCGATTGGCTTAGAGCATCAACTGTCCACTCTAGCCAATCAGCGGCACTCATGCCTGACGTCAATCTGCACTTCCTGACACTCTGTTTCAGAAGCCGAATACCACTGAGCGACCTGGAGCTGGAGCAAGTCTTTGGGGTTAAACCATTTGAGAGCGATTTAACCCCTTAAAGGAAAGAGAGCACCCAGGGGCTTCCTGGCATCATAGCATTTTCATTTAGGTGAAAATACACCATAGGCTTCCTGACACCATAGTTGTGAAAACGCTATTCACCCTGGCTTTATGTGATAATGGCTATGCCCCTTCCCTTTCATGACACTGTCAAAAAGGTACCAAGCATGGATGTCATTACAATTATACCCCGGAAAAGTTCCTGTGGACGCCCATGAGTGGGTTGTCTATTTATGCAAATGGTATGCCATGATGTGGGTAGTTTCCATTCCTGGGCTACCATACGCAGTGGCAGGACAGTGCCTATTACAAGGATGGCCAAAAGGTAGGTTCCCATCTGTCATAAGACTCCCACAATCCTTTGCCAGTTGGGGATCTACCATTTGCCCATCCTTGCATGGTTGCATTTAACACTGAGCGTGTGTGTGAATGTAAGAGAAGTTGTGTGTTTTTATGTACTGTTAAAGTTTAGTAAAAATGCACAGATTTACAAACTGATGCCCATGCAAATATAGACACACACATACAGATACACACACCCTGACACACATACCGATACAAACACACACACTAACTCACATACAGATACAGACACACAGATACACACCCTGACATCAATGAAAATATACACCCATTCAGACACAGACGCACACAAACCGACACACATGCAAATGTACATTTATTTATTTTTTAGCCATCCTCCTGTTTCCTATCTTTAGGTTGCAGGAAGAAGGCTTACATGGGTACCAGTCGGCTGCCTGAGAATGATGGGAATTGGAGTTTTTCCTAGTCCATGCTCCCTCCTCTCTACAGTTTCAGCTCGTAGGAAATGACCGGCTGTCACTACCTTCCAGTGCTGACATAATCACAGTGGCCGGATCAGCGATGTTAAAAGGTGGCCCAAACTGAATGGGTTACCCAAAGGGATCCCTCAGCATGCAGGCACTGGCTGTACCGGCATCAGCTCCACCGCTGACCATACGATTAAAGCAACATAACCAATCTGGCAAACTATGGTTTCTGAAGCATATCTCATACCTTCATCTTGCTTTATTTCTAGATATGTCACACTCTTTTGGCAAAATGTATTGTTGTATCCTATTTATGTAATGTCTGTTATGCCTACTAAGAATTGTTAATACTACTTATATCTTTTTTGGAAATATGTTTATAAAACCTTGTATGTTTTATGAATAATCAATAAAAATTTAAATATATTAAAACAAAATAATTACTTTCTAAATTTGTAAAAGTATTTTAAATTTGGCAGGTGTAAAAAAAAAAAAAAACCTGAAGGTACTCAAAATCACTATTAGTTGCAACAGCGGGGGGGAGGACCGAGTACGTAGGCGCCCGTAGCCGGCGTCCTCGCGGTGTGTGACTGGGGAACGCTTGGGTTGAGAAGAAGGAGTACAGGAGAAACTTATGTTGGCGGCAGCTCCAAGGCTGATTGAGAGGAAAATCCGGTGGGTGCCCTAAGGGGGCAATTAAAAAAAAATAATAATAATAACGCCGAGCAGCATGCAGGATATCAGTACATGATACACTGGAGAAACAACAAACCCACTCTAAAGCTAAGTACATTAATGGATGTCATTGAAACTAGCAAACTATAAAGGATGGCAAAAGGGGGTAGATCAACTAAACAATAGTTTCTATCTGTCTCAACTGGTTGAAGCTGTATTTTGCTTTTTTATATTTTTTGCCTGTTTTTTTTTTTTGGCTTTATGCTCAACCCTTTCAATTGATGAGAGTTCACGTGGCTGTAGCTGGTTAACATGGGGAAAAGGGGCAAGTTAACGGAATAGAGATCTCACAGAATAGAGATCTCCTTTGGCTTTCTTTCGACTGGGTATTACTTAGTTGTTGTGGGTTTTTTTTTTGTTTGTTTGTTTTTCTGGTTGGTTGGTTTTTCCTCTCTCAGGGGTTTTAATAATATAAAAGGGAAGAGGAATAGGGAAAGGCAGAAGAAGAGAATAGAGAAAGAAAGGGAATGAGGGGAGGAGGTGGGGAGATAAGAAGAAAATATGGCCACCAAAAAGACACAAAATGGCACACACCTGAAGAAAGGAAAAAAAAATGGAAGGGCAGCTAGAAAAACACTCGTGTTTTTTTTCTCACCCCAATCCTCTGGGAATAAATCAAATTTAGATGTGTCATACCAGTCAACCAAACCGACAGAAGGAAAAAAAGAGTAGTACACAAATGGAGGCATATAATAACTTAAGACAGGAAGAAAATCTATATGAACAACTACTCAGTCATCTAGACACACAATTTGAGAAAATTAAGGAGGAAATGCAAGTGAATACACGGGACATCAAGAGACCTTTCCTTATTAATCCCAATGATACAGAGTATTGAAGAAAAATGTGAGATTATCGAACAAGGGAGTAACTCCCACCAGGAAGAACATTTTATCCTGGAAAGAAAAATAATGGATCGGTGTCACCGAGTTAATAAGCCAAAAGGCGTACCAGATCACCTTCCAAGAGACATATTGGTCTGTTGCTCCTCCTTTAAACTCAAGTAACAGATCCTGAGACCACTGAAAAAAATTAATCCTTCAGGAGATTGTGAAAAGCTTAAGGTCTACCAGGATCTGTCATGGAACACCAGACAGAAGAGCAAGACCTTTGCAGAGAGTACAACAGTACTTTGATCCAATAATATAAAATACTGGTGGGGGTTCCCTACAAAAATCTTTATCCTGCATGAAGGCAAGATCTTAAGTTTCACTACGGCAGAAGAACTTAAAAGATGGATGAATCTAAGTAAAGAGATATAAAGAAGAAACAATGAATATCTTGCTAGGGAACGGAAGGAGACAATGGATAAATAGGAAAAGAAAGGAAGGGAAAGGGGGAGAAGAGAGGAGGAAGAGAGGCACCTGCAGACTTATTTACTCATTTATTTTTATTTTAACTTTTATGTTTGTGATAAAGGATGATAGATAGAGGTACACAATATAAAGAGAAAAACAGATACACTAGTATAAAATTTTTTAATACATGTAGAAATAGCAGACAGCAAGTGTTTTGAAGAAACTAGCTGGGTTTAATTTTTTTTTTCTCTTCTTCTCAGAGAAGACTCACAAGTTAAAAAACACTGACCAAAGTTAGAGGTGCTAATTAATATACACTTATTACGAAACTGTGACACACGTTTATCAACAAAATAGGAGGGATTAATAGACTAATGAAGATTTATTTAAGTAAAGGGAAAAGTCTGAAGGATGTGGGTAAAAAGAAATAGCACTATGAAGTTAAAAAAAATTATAAATTCTATGGAATGGTTTACTCACCAGGTGATCTTTAGAGAAAAGGAACAAGATGGTAGGGAATAAATGGGGAGGAAGGGATAAAAATATAAATAAAAAGATAGGGGGTCTTTTAGACTTAAACACGATTACAGATTGGAATGAATAAGGTCGTTTTTTTTTTAAATTTTTTTATTTTTTTTATATATATATATATATAAATATATATATATACCCTATGTTATGATAGCCCTGATGTTCAAATTGGAGAGAGAGAGCCCTCTGAGCTGGCAGACACTGTTAAATTAAGTTAGCATCATTTAAAAGATCTCTGGTTTTTCTTCAAGAAATCCAGAATTAAATACAAGTTTGTGCATTCCAAGAAACACATTGGATGAAAACTGACAAAATTAATATAAGAACTGTTAAATACCCGCTTACTATAAGCGCGGCTCTGGAAGAAAAAAAAAAGGAGGGGGGCCTTTATGTCCTTAAAAATATATCCATAAATATTAAATACCAAGATCTTGATATAAAAAGAAGATATATTATCTTGGTGTGTGAAATAAACAATAAACTCTTTACACTAGCCATATATGCACCTAATAAGTCTACCATAAAACTCATAACAAAGATTATGAGGAAAATACATCAAATCAAACAGGGAATGCTATTAATGATAAGGGGACATCAGATACTGTAGTATGGTGCGCTTACAAAAGCGTAATTACAGGCCACTTGATGTGGATGGCAGCTAGAATGAAAAAGAAAGAAAGACCCCACTCTCAGAGCTATATATAGAGCTAAATGAATATAAGAAACATAATAAAACAACACCCTCTACAGAAATAGAAAATATCAGAAACAGTGGCGTCTCTAGGATTCATTTTTAGGGGGGCACATGGAGGGCCAGGGACAAAAGTAGGGGGGCACATTTAACCCCACCCTCACCGCAGGTTGACCCCACCCCTGTCGCATGTTAAGCCCCGCCCCGACACAATGTGTTTTGTTTTTTTAATAATCCCTGGTGGAGGATTCATTATTTTCCACCAGGGATTATTAAAAAAACAAACACATTACCCTTGATACAGTGCCATAGTTGCCAACATTTGAAAAAAAAATTCCAAGGACATTTTGCAGCACAGCTATCAATTACTGCCTGGGTATAATATTCCTGGACAGTCAGTGCTCTCTGTATAATACAGGGCTGTGTGTATAATAAATTGGGACACTCAGTGCTCCCTGTATAGTGCTGCTCTCTGTATAATACAGGTCTGTTTGTGTATAATATCCCAAGACAGAGAGCAGCACTATACAGGGAGCACTGACTGTCCCAGGATATTATACAGGCACAGGCCTGTATTATACAGAGAGCAGCACTATACAGGAAGCACTGACTATCCCGGGATATTATATACACACAGATCTATATTATACAGATAGCTGAGCATATACCCCATGTCCCAATCTCTAGACTACTAGTACCTGTCAACAGCAGCTCCCAGACGCGTGTAACAGGGCTAAAGTGTGCGGCAGCTCACACAGATGATTCAGCGGTAAAGTGCACTCGCTGGCAGAGCCAAACTGGGAATCCCTGGGAATCCAAAGCAGCCCTGGAAAAAAAATGTATGCCATTCCTACAAGTCTATATATATATATATATATATATATATATATATATATATATATATATATATATATTTATATATATATAGTACAGTAAGCACACAAAACTCTCTGACTCACACACAAGCTTACTACAGACAAACTCACTTGTATAAACAGAACTACAAAGAAGTTCAGGGACACACACAAACTCACTGACACATACAAACAGTACCATTTTAACAGAGTTAAGGGCCCCTGGGCAAAGCAATGCACTGGGGCCCTTCCTACACAACAACTCACAGGAATTTTAATTATTGATAGACTGCTGGAGTCCATACACACACACAGAGACTGCTGAGTCCATACACACACACACACACACACACACAGACTGCTGAGTCCATACACACACACACACACACCGACTGCTGAGTCCATGCACACACACACAGACTGCTGAGTCCATACACACACACACACACAGACTGCTATGTCCATACACACATATACACACACACACAGACTGCTGAGTCCATGCACACACAGACTGCCGAGTCCATACACACTCACAGACTGCTGAGTAAATACACACACACAGACTGCTGAGTCCATACACACACACACAGACTGCTGAGCAGTGGCGGATCCAGAGCCTGATCTCGGGAGGGGCACTTGTAGATTATTTAAAGAAATAATCCAGACACAATAACCACTACAGCTCAGTGTAGTGGTTATGGTGTCAATAGTGCCGGGATCCCCTCCCAGAGTAAGTAGTCAAACCGTTTAAGAACAGTTTGACAACTTACCTGAGGTCTGCTGGGAAATGGGACTGTAGTAGGGCATAGGAGCAGTGGTGTGTGTGAGTGGTGCAATTTGTAAGGGGTGCAGTGTGTGTGTGTGTGTGTGATGGGGACAGCGTGTGAGCAGTGTGTGTGTTTGAAGGTTGTAGTGTGTGAGTGAGGGTGGCAGTGTATGTCAAGGATGCAGTGTATGTGTGGGACAGTATGTCTGTGTAATAGTTGCAGTGTGTGTGTGAGTGAAGGCAATGTGTGTGTATGGGGCGGCAGTGTATGGGGAGCAGTGTGTGTATGTGTGTAGAGTGTGTGTGTATGGGGGAGAAGTATGTGTGTATGGGGGAGCAGTGTGTGTGTATGGGGAGCAGTATGTGTGTATGGGGGGCAGTGTGTGTATGGGGGACAGGGCAATATGTGTAAAAGGGGGGGCAGCATGGGGGGCAATTACAAAAGTGTATGGGGGCAGTGTGTGTATATGGGGGGCAATGTGTGTGTATGGGGGCAGTATGGGGGGCAATGTGTGTGTATGGGGGGCAGTATGGGGGGGCAATGTGTGTGTAGAGTGTGTGAACACCCCCCCCACCCCAAGCCTACCTGTCACTGGAGGCTGTTGCTTGGGGTCAGGCAGCCATCTTCTGCATCAGCATGGTCTGCTGCTTTACGGCGGGGGTGGGGCTTCGTTTGGGGGTGGGCCTGTGCCGGGGAGCCTGTCAGTGCTCCCTCCAGCCACAGACAGCCCCCAGCACCTCAGCACTGCATTCCCTCGGGCTGTAACAGACACACACACTGTTACAGTCCGAGGGAAGAACATGGCCAGCAAGTTGCTGGCATTTGGGGGGGCCCAAGGGGGGGCACAGCATGATGTTTCAATCTAAATGGTGTCATAAAGGTAATAAACCTGAAGCGCTTATGACGAGTAAGTTGAAAAAGGAAAATAATAAAAGAGTGATATCTAGAATTAGGGAAAAAGATACATATATAATGGACCCTGAACAAATAGCTGGAGCATTTGAAAAATTTCATAGAGATCTATATAATCTACCACATGATATAGTTGGCAATGAGGAAGAAATTAAAAAATTCTTTGAAAAGATAAAAATTCCCCAAATTCCTGAAAGTTATTAAAGCAATAGATAAACTTAAAGAAAAAACTGCCTCGGGCCAGATGGCTTTACAAATACACTTTTTAAAATTATGAAAGATCAATTAAAAGAAGAACTGGTAAATGTTTTTAACTCTGTGATAAATACAGGAAGATGCCCTGGAGAGTTATTGAGAGCAAATATCGTTCCAATTCCAAAACCAGATAAAGATCCAGAACTGTCAAGTAATTTTAGACTGATTTCATTGATAAACACAGACATCAAAACATTCTCATCGATTCTTGCGGATCTTCTGAAAGTTGTCATACCAGATCTTATTGACAATGACCAAGTTGGTTTTATTCCAGGTCGTCATCAGTTAAAGGACCACTCTAGGCACCCAGACCACTTCAGCTTAATGAAGTGGTCTGGGTGCCAGGTCCTTCTAGGGTTAACCCATTTTTTTATAAACATACCAGTTTCAGAGAAACTGCTATGTTTATGAATGGGTTAAGCTTTCCCCCTAATCCTCTAGTGGCTGTCTCATTGACAGCCACTAGAGACGCTTGCGTGCTTCTCACTGTGATTTTCACAGTGAGAGCACGCAAGCGTCCATAGGAAAGCATTATAAATGCTTTCCTATGCGACGGGCTGAATGCGCGCGCAGCTCTTGCCGCGCGTGCGCATTCAGCCCAGGAGGAGGAACGGAGGAGGATCGGTGGAGGAGAGCTCCCCGCCCAGCACTGGAAAAAGGTAAGTTTTTAACCCTTTCCCCCTTCCAGAGCCGGGCGTGAGGGGGTCCCTGAGGGTGGGGGCACCCTCAGGGCACTATAGTGCCAGGAAAACGAGTATGTTTTCCTGGCACTATAGTGGTCCTTTAACAACATCCGGAAAGTAATAGACATTGTGGAGGCAACAAAGACTAAGGGGAACACACTCACGCTCTGTCACGTATTCATCAGCTTATATAAATGTGATTAATGGAATTTACTGTTCAGAAAGGAAAAGTTTTGCCAAACAACATTACTGTCCTGACAGGAAAAAGTTGTGCCAAGCAGCAATCAATCCACAGGAGGGTTTGTGCTGAGCAGCAATCATGCAAATAGGAACCTGGTAATTGCCTTTGGGGTCAAAGGTCGGTTACAACCAATCAGATCCACAGGCGGGGTATTTAGGCTCAGTTCTCCTCTTGCTCAGTGCCCTGTCGTGGTTTCCCTTGTGGTTGTCCGAGAGCGCTTTATTGATTCTGTTAATTCTGGTTATTTGACTTTGGCATTGTTTTTGACTTCCCTGTTTTCTGGCATCCTTGACCCCTGGCTTTTCCTTACCGTTGTGTCTTTTTCTGTATCCCTTGACCTCGGCTATTCCTGACTATTCTTTGATACGTTAGTCCGGCCACTCTAAGGTCCGGTATACGTTACCTATCAGTCCTCTGTGTTACACAATTCTACGTGCTGGATCAGACTGTAATCCTGACGTGCTCATATCAATAGACGCAGAGAAGGCGTTTGATAGGGTAGTGTGGGCCTTTATATCAGCTACATTAAAACAATTTGGATTTACAGGCTCATTTTTAAAAGCGGTATCTGCTCTCTATGACGCTCCACAGGCAAAAGTCATGGGATTTGGATTTACCTGTCAAATTTTTAACATTAAATTTATGGACTCCCAAACGATAAAAATTGTTTAAAAAATATTTGGGAATAACTATTACATTAGAGGTTAAAAAAGTCAATAGAAGCTAATTTTTTTACCCCTATTAAAACAAACTAATAAAAACCTACGGGACTGGAGGAGGTTGGGATTCTCGTTGTCGGGCAAAATCAATATATTAAGGGCCTATATCTTACCAAAATGGCTCTATTCATGGAGAATGATTTCTCTTAATTGCCCCAAAAACTGGTTATTAATGCTACATGCCTCTTTTTTAAAATTTGTGTGAGATGGAAAGAAACCAAGAGTAAAAATGAAACATTTAGCCAGTTTAAGACAAGATGGAAATTTGAGTTGCCCAGAAATTCATCAATGTTATCAAGCCAGTAGATTGTTTCACATATCACAGATTGTTACGTTGCCTTTGAGACTGTATAGTAGCCCAGGAATGAAATTTACACCCATAATGGCATACCATTTGCAATAGTAGACAACCCAAGGTATTGCACCGGGAACTGGTCAAGAAGATGAATAGCATATGTAATGTGGTGGCAATAAGATAGGAACTTATGGGTTAATCGGGCGTATAACAAAATAGATGATGACAGTAGTTTGATCAAAGAGGCGAAGGGGCTCTCTCTCTCCTTTTACAAATAAAGATAAGGAACATTAGACAAGCGAGTTTATTAGGGTTATGATAGTGATACTTAAGACTAGGATGGGGTGGGGGCAGAGGGTTGTGGGGCAGAGGGTTGTGTCTTATACATATACACTGTCAAATCCACCACATGCACATAGTCGCAGGCAGATAGTCACATACACAGGATCAGGCAGAAACACAGTTACATGTAGATAAACACACTCACACACAATTACAGGCAGACAGCCACACACACACATACTTACTTGCAGACAGTCACACACACATGCAGAAAGCCACACACATACACAAAGGCAGACAGCCACACACACACACAGGAAGACATCCACACACACAGAGGCAAGCAGTCACACACACACACACACACACACAGGCAGACAGGCAGACAGTCATACACACAGACACACAGGCAGACAGACACACACACACAGGCAGACATTCGCAGACAGTCATACACACAGACAGTTACACACATATAGACATACAGTCACACACACACAGGCAGACAGTCATACACACACACAGACACACAGACACACAGTCACACACACAGATACACACATAGACAGTCACACTCACACTGCCAATCACACATAGTTACCGCTGTTCATTGTGGAGACAGTGCAGCTCATGGAGATTGTTTGTTGGGGAAGCAGGGACTCCTTCCTGCTTCCCCTGCAGCAGTTATCCAGCACTTTTAGCTCTGCCCCCGCCATCAGTTTTGCTCCGCCACTGCCGCACGGTATGCTCCGCCCCCACTGAACGGTAAGCTCCGCCGCCGCCACAGATTTTTTATTTTTTTTATCCCGGCCGACCATGTGTGAGCTGTGTGGGCCGCACGGCGCCCCTTGCTCCCATGGCGCCCTGTGCGGCCGCACAGCTCGCACACCCCTAAGGCCAGCCCTGCTTGTAAGCATTCCTGGCATTTTACACATGTGCCCTGGTCCTGAGTGTTTGTACAGCAATTTAACCACATAAGTTCCAGATGTTTCTGAGGAAGCCTGTAGCCTCTCTTACAGCATATTAAGCAGACCGATTCATACATATTGCACTATTATTTGCAATTTGTTTCTTCTTCTTTTTTTTATTTTTATTTATTGCAGTTTTGTCAGCGATACAACAGCATTTCTTAGACAGAGTGGTTCATTCAGTCAACATGACAGGGTATTGAATATTTTCAATTGTATATTGTATATATCAGCGTTCTGTATGGACTATGTCCGAGCCGATGTGTGGTATGGTCTGTGAATGGCCTGGACTACGTGTTTCAGTTATCAGATAGAATTATTTCGTAGGAACTGGACCCAAGGGTCCCATATTTGTGTGTATTCTTGGTACTGATGTGTTAGTGAGTAGCATGTCTCTTCTAGGTTTCTGATAGTTTCTACCTTTTGTAACCATTCCCGTGTAGTGGGTGCATGTGGCTGTTTCCAAAGGGCAGGGATGAGTTGATTGGCTGCTGTGATGAGATGTATCAAAAGTGTTCTCTCGTGTTTATGCATTTCTAGGGGTGGAAGGAGAAAGAGGTATGTATCTGGGTGTAATGGGATGTGCCTCCTGAGGATCTTGTATAATGCCCCTGAAATGCGTGTCCAGTATTTGCGGATCTCGGGACAGGTCCACCAAATGTGTGTGGTCGTGCTTTCGGTTTGCTGGCATCTCCAGCATCTGTCTAC